ATGGAAAACATTTTGTTCTGGTCTCATTGTGGGATTGCATTTTTCATGATGGAGGTGGAACTTCATGACTTAGTTAAATACATTTTTCTAATCATCGATAGTGTTGTAATCTCTATGACGATTGCTAATGTTATCGTGGCACTAACAGGAAAAGTAGGTGTTTATAAAACGTATACTATCATCTTCATGTTTTTTCTTAAATCTTACTACAAGTTGTGCTTTCAAGTGGTTGACTTTGAGTTTCTATGTCGTAGTTTGTATACTAAGTATGTAGGTGTCCTTATTTGTTGTTTTCTTTCTCCTTTGAGTCAATATTGACTAATTCACTTTCCTAATAAGGATTGGGGAGGCTATGATAGTAGTAGAGTCTGATGATCCTATTAGGCATTGGAAACAACATTTCTTTTGGGACAATCATGATTTTCTACATGTGAATATGTATAATTATGGGTTCTTTCCACTTCTTGTGATTGGATACTGAGGTTGTCTCGCTAGAGTTTTTCTAATATGTCTTTGTGGCAGCTGGCATTAGTAATATTTAGTTGTGAAATAGCGTCGCAACATCTTTTTTCATAGAGGTTAAACAAATCGAGGGTTCATAAGCTTCTAAGCTTCTAAGCAACTATAAGCTCCAATTCAAGAAACCACAAGAAGCGTTGTTGATAAGTTAGTGAATCATTACTAGAATCTAATATAGACAACTGATGTAACAATAAATCATCATACATTTTCGAGTATTCCAAACCTTAAAGTCCTATATTCTACCCCATCGTTAGGACACAAACCGGCAAAATGCCCTTTGTTCTTACATTTAAAACAAATACGGCCTTCTTTTGTCTTCCACATCACATTCTTATTAGAGTAAATTACTGAGATCATCCCTGTGGTTTGGTCAAAATTACATGTTTGGTTCCTAACTTTTTATTTGCACTCGGATCGTCCTTGTGGTTTGATTTTGTTGCATTTTTCGTCCCTTACATACATAAAGTTAGGGACCAAACATGCAACTTTTACCAAACCATAGGGACGAAAAACGTAACAAAATCAAACCACATGGACGATCCGAGTGCAAAAAAAAAATTAGGGACCAAACGTATAATTTTATCCAAACCACAGGGATGATTTCAGTAATTTACTCTTCTTATTATTACCACTTCCTTAGACTCCTTTTGCTTCATAAATATGACCAAACTCTTGACAGTTCAGAAGTTTTTTCTCGTTGGAACACGCATTGAAAAAGTTTCACTTTTCTTTACACTTATAGCAAGTGATGTCTTCAATTGTCAATTTGTCATTGTCCTTGAATTTTCACCTCCATCTATTTCTTCATTTATCTTTTTCCTATTTTCATAATGGTTCTCATTTCCTGAATTTCCTTTGCTTTTGCATTTATTGATATGATTCTCTAGCTCTTCATTATCTTGTTTTTCGTAAGACTATTCGATCTTCATTATCTTGCCTTATGCCTTATTCATTATCTAGTGACGTTACTTACAAATATATGATAACATACTGATTCACCTTTGTATCATTATTTGACACAGTCTTCTTGCTAAACTCATTAAATTGAGAAACTTAATATTGTATTCCAAATCTGTCTTTTACTTTGGTATATATATATATATATATATATATATATATATATATATATATATATATATATATATATATATATATATATATATATATATATATATATATATACACCCTTAAGGGTATATAAGCTTAGGTCGTTTTGTATCATATATATGCACATTGTAATAGTCCAATGTTCTTCTAATTCAACTTCTAACTTAATTTATTTCCAAGATTTTTATAAAATTTGTATTTATCTTCCTCTTACTTAATTTTCATTTTTAATTATAATATATATGACGTAGTAGGTGTTCGACATAAAGATGTGATGTAAGAGAAAGATAATATTGAAATTTCGAAAATCTTGAAATTAAATCAAGTAAAAGGTTGGATTTTAAGAAAATTATAATGAATATATCAAACAAAACGATATATTATAGTGGGTTTGGGTACCTAAGCTTATATACCCTTAAGGGTATATATTCACTTTTCCATATATATATATATATATATATATATATATATATATATATATATATATATATATATATATATATATAAAACATTTTTAAAGTAAAATTCAAAAGACTTCTTTGAATAAGGTTAAATCACGTAATGGTCTGAATCATGCCCAAAAGACATACCCAATAAATTACAAAAGAAATAGCAACATATTTTTCAAGTTTTGCAACGTTTAGTTATAATTTATAATGTACCTAAAAATTATTTTAGAGTAAAACTATGTTTTTTTAAATACTTAAGTGTTTTTATGTTATTTTCCTTATGTTTTTTTTTCTTTTAGTAATTTATTGTTATTCGACAAAATTGCAAAACTGGTCTCTATGGTTGGTAAAATTCTGTGTTTTTGGTCCAAAACGAAATATTAGCGCACTACTGGTCCAAAATCTTTCTATTATTTTTGGTTCCTATCAAAATAAAAAGACTATTATACCCTTATATATTTTTTAATTTTTCTTATAGTTAGTTAAATGTTTTTCATTAATTAAAATTGAGAAAAATCTCTCTCTCTCTCTCTCTCAAAAATACTAGTGAGTCCTTTTTTTCCTAGTCCACTGTGGTTATACACAAGAAGGTGAAGCAACTGTCTCTTTCTTTTGAACCCATCCACCACAACTCCACCATCTTTTAACCATTGTTTTGGACAAGGAAACCCACCTAAACACCTTCTCTCATCTGCCTTCCTCTCCTTTTTCTTGTGATAAACCTCCACCCTCAACACCCTTAAAACATCACCATCTATTACCTTCCTCCGGTCTTAGAGTTATGCCACTGGAAAACCTCCAGGGACCAACGGAACATCACTGCCGCCACCACCCATTTACCCTCCTGCCATTGCTGATCAACCCACCAACTACAACCCTTTCCCCCCTCCATCCCTCGAGTCGAACGCGTCGGAACAGAAGACGAAAGTAGCAAAGCTGCCATCTCCACCTACCACCACCATCTTCACTTTCTTGTTTCGCCACTGTTGATGAAAGTCTAACCACCACCTTATACCCCTACTCTCAACTGAAAATCACCACCAAAACCACTCCCATGTGTTTTCTCTGTTGATTTCGACCAAAACCCAACCAAAACCACTTCCATATGAACACCATCGATTTTTCCATCTTCATCTTGGAATCGGAATCGGAATCACAAACAAGAATCGATGGGTCTATATGGATTTGGGGAAAATCGAAACGGGGTCAATTAGTTCTTGGAATCGGAATCACAAACAAGATGTTAACAAACAAGATGCTTAAGTAGTGATCTACAAAGTGGATGGACGGAAGGCAGATCCGAGGGAGCAATGTAAACCAGCAAAAATTGTGCAGGGGAGGGCTTTCGGCCGTACTGCTCGAACGGAGGAGGTGAGGTATGCGAGGGGTGGCGTCGGTGATGGTGGGGACTGCCCACCACAACAGCGGTGGTTACACAACAGTTCCGCTGCTTTCATCTTTCCAATCCAATGGTGATTGATGTGGAAGAGAAACAGTGGATGGTGGTGGAGATGTTCATTGTTGGGCTTGGCCGACCAAAATAGTGGCGGCAGTAGGAGGTGGTGGAATGTGATCGGTGCAAGGCGGAGGAGGGTCGGTAGCCACTAATCGTTGATGAATCAAGAACTTGAGGGAGTAGGTTGTAATGTTGTATGAAGTCAAATGAGAGAGAGACCGAGATATGATGTTATTTTCTTTTTATTTTTTTTAATGAAAATAGTAATAAAAAGTTAAAAATAAATAAAAAAGAATTATCAAAGGGTATATTCGTTATTTCAAGTTGAATCAGGATTAAAAATACACAAAACTACCGAATATAATGACAAAAATCACACAAGATATTTAAAATTGGACCAATAATGCACAAACATTTCGTTTTGACCAAACTAAAGAATTTTGACAACCAAATAAATCATTTTTACAATTATGTCTTGTTATTCTTATATTGCTTCAAGTTCTCGTTGTGCCATAATGCAAGAAATAATTTGTTATTCTTGTATTGTTATTAAAGCATGCTGCTTTTATGTCTTTTGTTAAAATAATTTATTTTGAAAATTTTATCCAACATCCAAATACATAGCTCCTATAAATGGGTTACTTTTTCAAATTACAATGTCAAAAACATAATAGTAAATAAAGTTCTTCATATTTTATGCAGTAAATTAAAATTGTCAAGCTATTAGCATTTTTCCCCTCCAACTTGTGACATTCAAAAGATGATTTTTCTTTCGGTAGTTTGAAAGCATAAATTACATACAAGTTTCTTTATGTATTTTTTAATTTTTCCTTTTTCCCTTTTAGCTCTTTAAAATCACGAGAACACAAACCTTTTAAAATTATAACATTTGGCTGAATTAGTTTGGGTTAATCAACAATCTTTTATGTTTTTCATTTAATACATTAAATATGATAATAAAACTTCTTTAATTCCATTCGATGAAATATTATTAACATTAACTGTTATTATATATAATTCTAGTTTCGTCCTAGGACATCTATAATGCTAAGTACACTTAAGGAATTGCTACATTACGATTCTATTTTTCATTCAAGTCTATTATTTATTTTCCCTATAGTGCATTAACTTTTATATAGTTAAATAAATCTGATTAAAAGAATAATTATTTGTTATAAAACCTTAAAATTAAAATGCTATGTTATTACAATTGAAAAGTGCAATTAGCATTGAACTTTAATAGTTCAATGTTACATCCCATAATTATTGGATTTAATCATGTCAACTGAAACTTTCCTTTTATTTAACTCTTCAATTCAATTATATGTTCATGTTCTTCAAAAAATATTTAATAATTATAAAAAAAATGTATTAAATTAACTTTTTAAATTTTTTTTAATTAATTTTCTCTTTTCACTCTGTTATATACCTTCCCACCCTAGTCTTTCAACTCACCATCTTTTTCTTCCCAAACAAAACCGCCATGGCTACTCAAGAACTTACTCCTCCTCCCTTGTCTCTTCCTCAGTACCCTGAGGTTATATAATCGAAACATCTGTTGCGTTTTTACTGATGCAAATCGTATTTATGCTTAATTTTCAAATGTCAACTTAGGTTTTGTTGATTATCCAACAATCTTCATGAGTTATAAGCTTATGGAACTTAATATCACACTTTCCTTTTGATTATCTGATGAAATTTGGTTTTATTTTCTAAATTTAAGCTTCATTTTTCGATTAACACTCTTTTTACCAACTAAATGCAGCATTTTGGTTTCTGATCAATGATCATGAAATTGAACTTGATTATCTATTTGGGTTTTGTTCTATACATGATTGTTTCTCGAAATCCCTTGATTTCAACAGATTTGGTCAAAATTAAGCTTGATTTATGATCTGGGTACCTATTAATTCGTCTTAATTTCACAAAATTTCAGTTAATCGTTGCTGCGATCGAGGTTATAGACAAGAAGAACGGAGCTAACAAATCGGCGATTTCGAAGCACATCGAAGCCACCTACGGCAACCTCCCGGCGGCGCACTCAACTCTCCTCACCCACCACCTCCACAAAATGAAAGCCGCCGGTCAACTCATCATGGTTAAGAACAACTACATTAAGCCCGAAGCAGACGCCTCCCTCCGCCGAGGCCGAGGCCGGCCGCCGAAAGCCAAGGAACCTCTTCCGCCAGATACCGTCCTTTCTCCGGTGAAACCCAGAGGTCGTCCACCAAAACCGAGAGACCCTCTTGCTCCGATGGCAGTTACTCCGTCCGTAAGCGGTCGGAAACGTGGACGTCCACCGAAGCTAGGGAGCTCAACTGTGAAGGCTACACCTTCGGCGAGTGGTCAGCGAGCGGGAAGAGGTCGTCCACCTAAGGTGAAAACACTGGTAGCTGCTCCGGTTGGGGCTTGATTGAAATACACAATTAATTTTAGGGGATTTTAGTGCTAATTGTTCTTTTGATTTTTGAATTATTTATTATTATTATTATTATTATTATTATTATTATTATTTTGTGTGTGTGAATGGTAGTGACAGTAACTGGTTGTGTAAATTGTTTAGGGGTAACTGTTTTAAGGATTTACAAGCTATTATTATATGTAATGTTTTGAGATGTTTAGATTAAAATTGAAGTTGGTGTAAATTACTAACATGTTTGTTTGGCTAAGTTAATTTATTTTTTTGACTTTATTACTATTTAATGAGTGACATTATTATAAAAAAATGTATGTAAAAAAATCCTTATATTTTGATTCTATCGATAAAAAAAAATAGTGTCGAGAACCGATAAAAATTTATAAAATAATTTTTGTAACTGATTCGTTAAGGTTAAAGTTTAAGAAGCTTTTGGAAGATTTTTTTCATAAAGATTAAATTTATTTGAAGAAAACTGATATTTATTTTTGTTAAAAAAACTCAAAATAAAATTGTCAGTTGTCAATAGTATGATTTTTCGGTCACCAAGTGTTTGTGTGGTGGTAAATGCTGACATGACAGCTTACACGGAGTGCCAAGTCAGCTTGATATTTGGAAGGAAAATCAATGGCGTTGAAGAGAAGAAATTGTAGGTGTGAGACTCGAACTCGGGACACGGGAAACACAAGGCAAGCGCCTTATCACCAAGCCAACGAAGCTTTCATATTTATTATTATTATTTTTTATTAACAAATATAACTAATGCATTATTATTATTATTACTTTCAATAATACATTAATTTCGTATAAAAACATTTTATTTTGAAAGAGTCGTATAAACACATATTATATACATACAAATATGAAAATAAGATATAAATACGCTCAACAATATCTTTATATGTTTTTATATGTATCAGAATGTTCTTATATGTATGTACATTTAAATAACATTTTTATACATATTTAAATGTATAAAAATATTTTTATACATATAAAAGTGCATGAATATACTTTTATATTAATTATATGTATATATCATGTATAATCGCATTTTAACATTTTTTATATGAATAAATTATATATAGAAATGTTTTAATATGTACAAAAAAATATAAATTTATTTAGCATTTTTATATTTGTATTTATATAAATATGTTCTTACAAAATAAATACACATATACCATAAACTATGTTTAATATGTTTTTATACAAAATAAGTTTGTTGTTTATACCAACAACAATAATAATAATAACATCTTTTTAGCAGCGCTTCCTTTTTTTTGATGTGTGTAAAACGAACTAGTTTTAATCTTAACAAACTTAAATTTAAACAAACACACGTAGGCAGTATACCTATCGATAGTAGTTTAGTTCAAACAAGTAAGATATCGAACACAGGGAACGGTAACAGCTAAAATTAATACTAATATTATCTAAATAAAACAATTAATAAACGAGGGGGGGGGGGGGGGGGTTCTCTAGTTTTGCAAGACTAGAAACTTAAACAAGGACTTTCAAACTCAAACAAAGACAATTAACAACTAAGAAGAACTAAAAAGGACAACTAGATGCAATGATAAAGAGACTTCTGTGTAGATTCGATTCACTTATTCCTATGGTTAATTTCGTGGTAAGTGCAACGAATTAATACATCACTGGTTACCGATTCCTAATATGATTGGGTTCATGTTCATTATTACTAATCATTTAGTAGACAAGTTAATTCAAACAGTGATCAAGTGATTAAATTAACAAGTTTCATAGTGTTCAGTTCGTATCAAGCAAGACTTATAATAATAGTTAATCAAATTTGTTCAATTCAATCAACTCATGTATGGTTGTTCATCACATATGCTCACACATTGATTTACACATTTTATAGTTAACCCTAGTTTCATATTCACTATTCTTAGGCATACAACCTTATATTCATAAAACTATATGAATCAAGTAATCAAGAAGATATTCATGCAACTCAATCACTTATTTGCTAACTAAAAACATTTATCATTAATACATAAGGATCTTTAATAAGCTTAACAAGATGAATAACCAAATTAATATCAATTCAACCACTCAATCAAACCATGTTCATAAGATTATCTCATCCAAACAGAAGTAAAAAGCTTTTAGCTCATATCTACAGTAAATAATAACCTAATTTCAAAATCTAATGATTCAAACATGGTTCAAAACAAAGATTAATAAAAGAAGAATGATTGTTTGCCTTTGATTCTCTTTGAAATGGCCTCTTATGTTGAAATCTCGAAAATAGCAGCTCCAAGAACCCTTCTGATCTTCAAAAGTCGCAGCTAGCCTCCAACAAAAGTTAGGTTTACGGGCCTAGAAGTTATCTATTTATAGTTACCAAAAATCATTCCAATTCGTCGAGTTTTTTATAATAACTCGACGAGTTTTTTCAATAATTCGCGTATAAAGCGTGTACGGCAATGCATCTTTAAATCGGGAATATTCTAACCAATTTGTCGAGTTTGTGCTAAATACTCGTTGAGTTCCTTCTTTTTTTTTTCAGCTTCTTTCTTTAATCTTCAATCTCTAAGTGTGACATCCCCAATTTCACGGCCAGAAAAGACCGATTTGTTTATGCTTTGTTTTATAAAATCAGAGTAATCTTTTGATTAAAAGAGTTGTGGAATTTGTTCCCAAAATAAAATATGATAAAATTTATCAAAACATTTCTCAAAGAGAATGTATTTTCATTAAATAATAAAACATCGGGATGGCATGTTCGATATAGACCAAAAGCATAAACAATATAAAATAAATCTTACAACAGTTATTTATGACTACTGATCTATAATCCAAAATCTCTCGTCAAGTCCACCGACTTATACTCTTGTGCCATCACCTGTAATGTAAAGAAAACTGAGTGGGTCAGGCTTGGGAGCCTGGTGAGCATATAGGGTTTTCAACCCACAATAATATAATTATTATATGTAATCAGCAAACAATCAACCCAATTACCCATCCTCATTATCTTCTTAAGGTTTTACCCTAAGAACCAACTATCCTTCATTCATTTATTCGTAAGGAATTTGGCACGAATTCCATTACTGCCAAAGCTTATTTATCAAGTACTAAATCCATAGTTATCTGGCGCTAACTCCATAGTCACCAAGGTTCACTTAACAACCGCTAACTCCATAGTCGCCAAGGCTTACTCAACAAGTGCCAACTCCATAGTCGCCAAAGTTTACTCAACGTGCGCTAACTCCATAGTCGCCAAGGTTTATACAATAGGCGCTAACTCCATAGTCACCAACTATTCCATCTACCTATGTTCTACCCAATAATTTTGTAGATATAAATACTTACACAGTTTAAATCATTTAACACCTGTATAAAACTCCAATTTCCATGCCCATCTCAAATAGACAAATAACATATAAACACATAGCACGTATTTCATAGCAAATACATCATATTTATGTGTTAGAAGAAAGTAACTACACACTCACACATTTAAACAACAATAAACTTAATACACTCAAACCATACTTGTATTATTATCGTGTTTATGAAAGGTAGTATACACTCACTTGATCAGAAGATGATCGGACAACACTACGACTTGCAGAAGTAGTATTCTTCGGTAGATCTGGAAGATCTCCACAAAAATCGAACTTCTCGCGGGCAGAGCTTCGGCTCGGGAACCGCACTTCTCGGGATCTCCGGGATCTCGGGACTTGCTTTGGGGCTCGAGAATATTACCGGGGCTTCGGGGTATTTCTGGCACGCAAATCGAGGCAAAACGGGAGAGAGAATGGAGAAAAATAGCAAAGAAGCCGGCTGCCCTCGCATCCTATTTATAGGAGGCTGGAGCCTCGAGGTACGTGGGGCGTACGCGTCCGAATTCGTCACTGCATGCGTCATCCGAAGCCACTTGATGCGAGTGTCGACATCCTCGGTGTACGCGGGGCGTACTTCGGATCGGACCGCTGACTCCTCTTCGGATAATGCCGGGGTTTAATAATTAATTTTAATTATTAATTATTTAATAAACTTCGAAAATTCATATCTCCTTCATACGAACTCCGTTTTTGACGTTCTTTATATCCACGCGAAGGTGAGACTACGTTCTACGACTTTCATTTAGATTCCGTCGGCTAATTTTGACTTTATTTTTATTATTTATTTTTAATTGGCCGGGACAGAAAATTTCGTTATAAATTCATAACTTCTTCGTCCGACGTCCGTTCTTGCCTAACTTTTCGTCGTTTCGTTACTAACAACGAGACCTTCGATTCTCGTTTAGATCGCTAAAGCTAAATATCACTCTAACGTAAATTCACTTTTTTTTACGTCATTCAGCGTTGTTCCGTTTCTGTCGCGAAACTTTAACAAGTCATAACTTCTTCGTTATAACTCGGATTTTGGCGTTCTTTATATGCACGGAAACCTTGTAACATATACTACAACTTAGTTAGGATTATTCATCCTAAATAATCTTCTATCAAAAAGTCATTTTTGACGCTTATTGTTTCTAAATTGACTAGCCTTGATCTACGGGTGTTACACTAAGCATTCAATTACTCAATCCTCTTACTTTTTCAACCAAGCATGCCTTTTATTGTTGAAATTGAAATATTAAGCTAATTAAGTACCTTTTTTTTTTCTTCCATAAAGTGATATAAAATCAACAATAATTAATAAAATAATGAATGATTTCTATGACTAAATAAGCCCATATCATTTCTTATAAGTGTTCCAAGCTGACGTGACACACTATGTCAGCTTTCACGTTAGCAAATGAATCCAAGTATGCATCCAGGAAGCTTGGGTGACCGACTAAGGAGAGCAAAACTGGATAAATGTCCTAAAATGACAAAATCTTGCTAAGTATGAGGCATTAACGAACATAAAAAACAATTGTGGATAAAACTGACAATTTCTATAAACTTGAGGACTTTTGTGACATTAACCCTCTTTTTTTATTAAAAAACATAATCGTTATAATTTATTTTAAAATTTTTTTGTGATTCTCTTTAATAAATATCATTATTACAATCATAAAAATATCATCTATATCATATATAACTTAAGATGATTTTGTTGATTTGTCGCTAGAAAGTGTATTTCTAAGCTAAATGCTACTTCGTTGTTGAGTTTTTAGCAAGGTTCCAGAAATTGAGATTAATTGACGATTAATCATTTGACGTTCTCCAACTGTCGATGATTAGGGTATTAATCGGAAATTTAGGATTAATCGGTCAACAAAAGTCAAAA